TTGTGTGCTTCGGCCCCCCAATTGTCTGAGGGACAGCAACCCGGCCCCCGGCTCAAAAAGGTTGCCTACCCCTGGGTCAAAGAGACCATACTCTCCAACTGTCACAATTTTGCAGTTCCAATTATAATTCTTTCATCTTGTTTTTTCAGCTGCTTTTAAAATATCTTAGGGGTGATGCAAATGCTGCTCCTTTTTGGGGAGAGCCGCCACCATGGCTCTTTTGTGCTCCTTTGACACAGTGTTTCTGCACGCTGTGCCAACAGGGTGCCCTGACACCGCATGCTATGCAGAGTCAAGGCAGCCGCCCTGCGGTCACCCCTACCCACCTCCACCCCCAGGCATCAGCCCTTAGTTTCATAGTTCTACTACTACTAGTACTTTTCATCCTCTGCTTATTTCAATTGCTTCAGGCAGAGTTCAAAGTCCAAAAGTATTTTACACACAACTAAGGGCTCATCTGTGCTTGCCAGAATACTCCAGGTTGCCCCCAGAGCATTTTGCCTCCTGAATTCAACTCTTATCTTGTTCTCTTCCCCAGTGACAACATGAGGTTGCCTTCACACATGGACCTCGTTCATCACCCAGCACTGCTAATGAGGTCAAAATGAGGTACCCAGACATACTATCGATACTGGGTGTCTCATTTTGATCTCAGAGTGAGTTGCACCCAAAGCACTGGCACTGGTATGGGGACCATGAGGGAGTTGCCCATTGTCACTGAACCCCAGAAAAGAAACCACAACAAAAGGTGAATTTTTAAAATGTGGGTTAGTGGAAGGAAGCCCTGAATCGGGCGAGAACATTGTGAAGACACTCCAAACCCAATTTGGGGGTTGGGTCCTGCATTATGTAAGCAGGCTGCAATGAGCTTGGTGGAAACTCAGGGTAAAATACCAATGTAGACAAGGCCCAACCCAGCAGGGATGAGAGGAGAGGAGGTGTGGAATCCCTTCCCAATAGGTCCAGACAAAAGCAAAGAGCTATCCTAGGTTTTGTATTCTTTTTATCCCATCTTGACCACATACCAATGTTGTTTGGCAACATATGTCCCAGTTTTCATCTGTGAAATGTTGGAGGGTCTGAAGTAATAACTGTCTCATAAATGCACAAGCCAGTAAATCACATTCCAGATTTTACTAAATTCAATCTGAAAAGTACCAACCTGAATCCAATGTAGCAGACATCCCACATAGCAGTTTTATTTTGCCCTCCCCACTCCATTTTCATTTTCTGCCCAGAGCTGTATGAAGACCTTGGGGTACAAAAGGATCTACAATGAAGAAGAGAAACCACCTTTTCCATGTCCACTAGATTCCTCAGTGGATGCTGCCCACTATGTGTCTTTCACTGTTGTCTAATTATCACCATAGGAGTTTGTTTCACTGTGCTGAAATTCCAAAATGGTACAGTGTTGTAGAACCAATTTGACATTGCATGTCCTAACGTTTCTCAAGCACCACAAAAGGCCCATGGGCCTATTATCATTTATAAGTATTTACTAGAATGATGGGCAATGGGTGAACCTGTGGAGCCTAAAAGTTCTTTTTGTGGGCCCCAAATTTCTCCAGATCCCCCCACAAACCACCCTTCTTCCAGCCCTATTAAAATTACCTCTTCTGAAAGCTTCTAGGAGCAGCAATTCAGCAATTTTTAAATATGTCACAGGGCTCCTCTCCACTGTTTCAGATTAGTAGCCTTCCAACTATTTCCATTTTATTTTGTTGTTAAGTTTTTGGGCTCTTTGGTAGTCTACACAGCCCATAAAATGCTGTGGGGCAGAATGTTGGTCCCTGGACCTATGAGATTTGCCTGCAGTAGCTCTGTTACAAATCTACTAATCTCTCTCATAATATCCATACTTCTGTTATGGAAATTCCATGCAACTGCCTCTTTTTTCAATCTGTTCAGTGACACTTGTGTGCTACTTTTTAGACTATCAGCAACAAAATCCATTAACAAATGTTTTAAAGTTACAGTCTTCCTTGGATGTTTGATTTCCAAGGTGTCATGGAGCCCTGTCCCCTTCCATTACATATACAATCAGAGATTATATGCCACCAGAATCATAGAATCAAGCACCCTTTGGATTTGGCCAGTCAACCAATTACAAACCCATGTAACAGTTACCTTGTCTAGTCCACATTTTACTAGCTTGTTTGCAAGAATGTCATGGGGAAGAAAAATCATTAGGAGTTGAATCTATTTCATTTGCCATTTCTTAAATGGGATGGTTGCTTCAGTTGTAACTTATGCATGTGAACCATATTTCCAAAGTACCAATTAGATGCTTACTGTTTTACATTGTGTCAAATGATGGTCAAGGCATTAAATGTTATTTATAAATACCTGCAACTTGTTTCCTTCCAGCAAGTGATTAGCTGCATTAATACATTGTTTTCTTTGCAGCAAAATTACCTCCTTATTTCTGTGTACTTAATAATGAGAAACAGCCATCTACTAATTAGAGGCAGATTTTTATGGCAAAAGAAATACCTGTACAATTTTCGCTGCAGAAATTTCTGGCTGAAACAACTACTGCTTTCTTGGCATCATTTCTGTGGAAGGAAACCAGCTGGCCAGAACTCTGGTGAGGATTTATGAGAGAATCTTCCAGCCTCCAATTGTGAAACTTAACAGCACTCTCCACATTTCCTGTGGCTTTGGTCTTACTCTGCTGCCTCAATTTCCCACTTTGGTCTGAAATACAATTTATCTATGGATTTGACCATCCACGGCCTGAAAATACTCCATATATATATATATATATATATATATATATATATATATATATATGGTATACAAACCTTGTCTTTGCCATTTTATATAAAGCAACCCATTTTACTGTGCCATTGTATATAACGGGACTCGTGCATCCACAGATTATTCAAGAAGGGTCCTAGAACCAAATCCTCGTGGATGCCAAGGGCCCACTGTATGATTTTGGTTATGTTATGTTGTTATGAAAATGGACTGGCATAAACATCTTCAGATGGGAATTGACTTGACAGGGCACAAAATGATGACAATTAAAGAGTAAGGGAAGCCACTTGCAATGCACAAAACAGTGAACAGAAATGTGATGGAGAAACCATGAGTTCCACTAATCATGAAATACAGATTTCAAACCAAGGTGAGGTAACTGAAGTAGCAGAAGACTATCGCCAAGACAAATGCTGAGAGTTCTGCTAGGTTTCAGACTTGGAGGTTGGCAAATTCTTTTATAAATCTTCATCTTAGTTCTGGCCAGTTGATTTCCTTATATTGTGATCCGCCTTGGGTCACTTTTTGGAGAAAGGCTTAGGGATGGTAAATTGTGGTTTTTCTGAGTCCTAAGAGATGTTCTGAACCATGAAATAGGTTTCTATCCCTTAGCTTCAAGACACTGGAGAATTTTATTTGTTTTTTCAGCATTCCCTGAAAACTGCACAGTTTTGCTGTGGAAAGGAGTGTTTCTAGGCTGCCATGTGTGTGTTGCATAAGATTGCTGCTTTTTTTTATGGAATGTTGCACAACAAAAATGTTGCACCGATTCAGCAATGTTGCACAAAATGTTCCTATTTTTTTGTGAAACATTTCTGGTTTTGTTGCAACAAACTGGCAAAGGCTGCAGCCCTGATGTTAAACCTTTCACCGCATTGAATGTATACCAGTGTAGTCTGCAGTTTATCTTTGCATTCTGGGAACTTTTTCCAAGTATATAGCATACACACACAAAAGAACAATGTAATCAGGCAATGATTTTTTTTCTCAGAAAGTTACAGTTTTCTTCACATAGTAAAAAAGACTGAAAGCATAGGTTTTACAGCAAAGCTGTGCAGTTTCTCAAACTTTTGTGAGTTTATATCATGCTGGGGGGGGGGGGGGGGAAGTCCCTAAACTTTGTGGAAACATAGGATGGGGATCAGTTTTGCACCTCTAGAAGATGAGTTATTGGATAAAATCAGAAATTACTTCAACTTTGGCTGTTCTTAGCTGGCTTTAATGAGAGCCAGTGTGGTGTAGTGGTTTGAGTACACATCAAATCCCTGCTTGGGCATGGAAACCAACTGGGTTCCCTTGGGCAAGTCATGCTGTCTCAGCCTCAGAGGAAGGCAAAGGCAAACCCCTTCTGAACAAATCTTGCCAAGAAAATTCATGCTGGGTTTGCCCTAGGGCCACCATATGTTGGAAATGACTTGAAGGCATATAACAACAAGTTTTAAATGTTGGATGCTGGGTGGGGCGAGCTTCACCCTCTAGGTCTGGTTTTTATCTACATTGTCAATTTTCTTGTGGTGGGCTGCTAACCCAGGAAGGGAGCTTTACAACCTACCAGCAACCCTATACTGACTGGTAGTGGCCAGAGACAGGAATGCCACATAGTTCTCCCTGAATATGAGAAGGATAAGACATAGCAACAATGAGTTTTTGCATATAAAGCATATGTTGGAGCCCTGAGCTGTACAGGAAAACCTCAGTTAACAAAGCTTCTGACACAGAAGTTCCTTTTTACAAAGTTTTTATGCCTGCTCCTTTCTTTCTCATCTTTTGTATATCTGGAAGTTGTTTTTAGCAGCACCAGCATTGGGAAGATGGTGAAGAAGGGCTGGAGAAATACAAACTTTCAGTGTCAGATTGGAACAGCATCTCTGCAGTGAATAAAACTTGGTCTGGGAAGGAATGGAATTCTATTCTAGCTGATCCTACTATGTGTGCATACCTACAACAGGCATGATAAACAGCAGCTGCCTCCAGAATTGCTTGTTGTGGATGCAGTAACAGCATAAAAGAGAAAGGGGGGAGCAGATAAGTCTGTGTCCCCAGCTACCCCAGCACATTAAAAAAAAAGCATTGATTTATAAATTTGGCAAAAATGAAAATCATAAGTGGAGGCTAGTAAAAAAAAAAAAGTAATCCTTTCATGCATTTTTGGAACAAGCTTCAAGTGGTCTCTAAAAGGATGAAATGGCTTGCTTGGCAAGTGTTTTCATTTCACATGTGCATATTATTAGTTATGGAAAGCCACTGTGGTATAGTGGTTTGAGTGCTGAACTGCAACTATGGAGACCAGGGTTTGATTCCCTGCTCAGCCATGAAATTGACTGGGTGACCTTGGGCAAATCAAAATCCAAAAGCTAGAGCAGTGATTTGTGGTCCTGACAAGATGTCTTGGGAGGTATGTTGTCTCCCTGGGGCAAAGATCCGAGATGTGACAGAGAGGCTGACAAGACTGGTCAGGCCTAACTACCAATACCCCTTCTTTTTGGTCCACGTGGGAATGAACAACACAGCAAGACACAGCCTTCAGAATATCACAAGGGATTACGAGGCTCTAGGAAAGAAGCTAAAAGAAATGGAGGCACAAATTGTCATCTCGTCTCTACTGCCAGTTGAA